TTTTTTTTTTTTTTTTTTTTAGTCTCGTGTTGGTTCTCATACTTTCCGCTTGGTTCCCTGCACTTTGTGCTGTGTTGACACTGGTAAAATAGCACAGCAGAGCTGGTTTCCAGTTTCCTATGAGCAGGCGGAGGAGCTTTCTTGGTGGCTCTGGCCTAGTGTGTATCACGGAGCAGACACCAAAAGTAATAAACTGGGAGACTGGGCAAATACCAGGTGGTCCAAAATTAGCCCCGTTGCTCATTTTCAAGTTGATGAATCGGTCGCTTCGAGAAAAGAAACGGCGCGTCCGGATACTGGGCAATGGGAACACTTTTTATCAAAATGCGCTTGCGAGAGCTGGGTGATGTAAACATCGCTTTGATGGTCTGCGGCGCTCGTCCGTTTCCTCTTCCCCTCCTAAAGTTCATCAACAGAATGAAAGGATGGTTCGGGAGTAACTCAATCATTTTTTGACGGACCTGGTCGATGGGATGCAGAGGGCAGAATTGATCCGTGTTCGTGTTTACCCAAAAAGAGCTGACCAGGATGAACCGGGAGGCGAATGATATGAAGCGGTCTAATTCGGGAAACCAACGAGATAGGAAATTAAAATGGTCCAGATATTAGATAAAGCAAGTCAAACCAATCGCACATAATTATTTTAGGCATGAAACAATTTCTTACCATAAATAGCCCGAAGGGTCCATAGGACAAAACGACCGCCTATCGACCATAAGTGTGGTCAGCCAACGGCTTCTTGAGTTCTAATTAATTTTCGAAATCTTCCACCTCTATCAGCACATGATGTTAGCACTCTCGCTGATATGATACAAACGACAACACTAGATGAACGGCACAGCGACGGCTTTTCCACCCTTAATCAACCGCACCTTGTCGGAAACTGAATGCATTTTTTGCCGGCTGTTTATTTTGACAGGCCTGCCAACTAAGAGTAGGCCGAATTCTACGCGGCGTCTTCATCATCCCGAAACGAGAGCTTTTTTCTATAGTATTTTTTTTTTGCGTTTGGCTTTTTCAAACCCACACACACCGCACTTGTTTATCATAGCAAGTGCGTTAAGGCTAGTCTCGCGTGAATGCCGATGTGATGGGTTGGCTCGTGTTCCACTTTTTTTCAAACAAATTTGCAAACATTAGGTTGCTTTAACGTCTCGAAACGATCAACGCATGGGCATTTGTATCAACTGAAAAACCGCCTGTACTTTTTATTTATCGTGCCTAATCAAAAGGATCTCAGATTGGCTGTATGCACTGGTGTGAATTATTAACAGTGGGTCGACCACTGTTATACACAAAAGCGGATATTGCCAGATGTCAGTGCCAAATATGCCCGTTTCACGTTTGAAGGTTTCTGCTGATATTTTTCCCAGCATTGCAGACGGTTGTGGTATTTTGATAATTGCAGGTTTAAGGTTGATTTTTCTCTCATTACACAGGTGCTATGCAACAGGTGGAATAGAAGGGAAAGGATATTCCAGCGTACCACGTGTCTGCATCGGGTACTGAACGAAGGCGCCCAGTTACACGATCTCCGCCCCGGTGTCTAAGGTTAGAGCAATTTCCTTTTCATTTTCTCACGTGCGTGGAGAGAGAGAGAAAGAAAAAAAATCGCCACCTCCCCAGGGTGTGTTTAGCCACCTGTCTGTTAACCCATCCCCACCGCACACGCCGCGGTAACCGTTCTCTGTACACAGGAATGTGTGATGGCCGCAATTAAATGGTCGAGTGGAATGGGGGAAAAGAGCTAAGAGACGGCCTCACTTGAAAAGCGCCGTTAGAGACGGTCGAGTGCGTGTTGACATTGGAGCTTGGTCAACATTGACTGAAGAGCACGCGATTTACGGTACAGTCTTCACGGTATAGGCCCCTTCTGCGACATCCCTCACGCTGTTCCGCAACATTATTAGGCCGATATTTTGGTAGTGGGCCGCGAACTCTTGCAGCGGCAAACACGCAGACCGGGGGAGGGGAGGCTGATATTTTCTGCAATAACCGGTCCCCCTTTGGTCAAACAGTGACCCAATTCTGGGAGGCCATTCCGCGCACTAAGGTGTATACAGAACCCGCGACCTCCACGGTTTGGGGGATCTCTGTACACGAAGGTATTATTAACGTGGCTGTAGTTTGATGACATTCAATATTGAATGTCTAAATTATTGTGAAATTGTGTTTGTAGAGATACAATTGGTATTCAGGCTAAAGCGTGTCGCTGCATTTGGGAAGTGTCCAAATTTCGACTTTGTCGGCTTCATCTCCTGGCAAAACAAAGGCTCGTATATTGGTGCCAAGATAGACTGTGTGGTTGTTCTAGTATTTCTGTGCCCTAGTTTTCTCAGGGCACCGGTGGAGAATTTGGAAGGAAATAAGTCAACGTGTTTCAGGCGATATTACGTGCATGTTTGTGTACGTACTCCGGTTACCATTTCGACCGTGACTTCACATATTGCTGGCAGTGCAGATAAGCGAGTTGGCATTCGCTTCGTGCCCTTGGAACGTTTTAAAAACAAATGGCAAGAAACATTCTGTTTCCCTGTTTCCGCTCTTTGTTTGCAGTTGTTTAAACCCTGACGTGAGCAGTCTTGATCAGGAGCAAAAAGTGAACTCTTCGAATGTAGTATTTAATAAAGGTGTGGTCAAGGCTTCCTGGCGTCGAGATGGACTTTATGAACAGCTTGTAAGATAAATTGTTGATAATTCTTAGATTACCTGCGGACATATTGCTCGGTTTAACGGATATGGAATGTCAGCAGTGTATGGAGAAAGCGTGCTATTCCACATTGCGACAAGTCATGTTTTAGTGACCCAAGGAAGGCGGCAGCGGGAGCATCGACCGAACCTAGCAGATCTGTAACGAGACAGCGACCCGTACCCCAGCTCTCGCCAGTCAATTTCCACGACCAGAAGTCCCGGGGCCTTTCAACCCAACCAACCACCCAACTGAGTGAATGAAAAAAAAGAGCCAACAGGTATAATGATCAAACAGGACTGGAACACGATCACGGAACCGGTCTCAATTTCTTTCGAGAGAGCCCACGGAACTGCGTTCTAATGGATCCAAGACCCCCCCAAAAAAAACACACAGGAAGGGAATAAGAGGAAAAGAAAGAAACCTCAATCTGGTTAAGTCAGGGGAATTCTTACATCAGATCAAGGGGGTTGAGGAAGGCGAACCTTTCAAGCATATCCATGTACCGACTGATGAGGCATGTTGGCCCCTTTTTTTCAACCATATTTTCCGCCAGTCACAATCTTGGTTACTGGGGTAGTTTTGTAACTTTTTATAAGTGGACGAGCCTAGAGGGAGACGTTTTATTGTATAAAGTGAAACAGTGCAGACGACTGTTCCATGAATGCTGCAAACTGGTCGTGCTTTAACCACTGCAGAATAAACCCACTGCAAGGGGCTCTCGGGTGAATGATATTGGTTGAGTTGCGAAGAATGGTGCCGCCTTTTTCTTGTTGTAATTTAAGAATAAATATACACTGCCTGCAATTGCAAGTCCAAGTATAAATTAAAACATTTTCACATGGCGCAATCCTTTTTACTAAACTAAACACCACCATTACTAGTTTGAGTGCAGCTTTAGTTTAATTTTGGCACAATTATTGATTGTTCTCTTTGCATTTAGCTTAATTCTCAAGAACTAAAGTGCCTTGATAGCTCATCCGTCTCATTACTATCTTTAGTTTTCTTCCCATGTCATCTTAATGGGTCAAAGCCCGTTATTCCATGCGTGAACGAGTTAACATACTGCTTCCCGGATTCCAATCCTATAGGCTACTGTACCGTTGAAATCCTTTCCATCATCCGCCCAGCCGTGATTATTCTACTTGTAGCTGCCCGTTCGACCAAACGCGTTGAATGGCGAGGACGCCCGAGCCGGATTTATAATTAGCTTAGATTGGAACAGCGGCGCCACCGTGGAGGAATTAGTGCTATCGGTGCGGTAGGCCAGAGCGTGTGCTATCGGGGTACGATAGTTGATGAATTTGGTGACAGATATTCCATCGGATGGTAGGTTCGAAAATGCCTTTAAATGGGCCCTTTGCGTTTCTTGTGTGCGTGTGTAGGGGGGGGGAGCAGGACTTCACCGATTTAAGGGGACAATTTCTTATGTTAGGCAAATTAGGGCCGAGTTTGGGGGACATTTCTCTGTCCCTACAACGTTTTCGATCACCAAAATGAAGTAGGTTCAATACCGTATGTATGTCCCCACAACAAGTATGTGTGTGGGTGTAAAGATTCTTTCAATTTATGCTTGTTGAAATCATACAACTTTCCTACACAGTTGTCCTTTTCTAGTACTTGAAATGCAGCAAGTCAAAGACGAACTTTAATTTTGGCTTGTATCTAAAGGGACATGTTTTGGTCATGGTTTTCTTAATGTTCCAAACAATACTTAGCTCCTGAGGCCCTACTGTCTGCCTTTCGTGTTTAGTAATTTCCCAATGTCGAGTCTATATCTGGCATGATTGTGGATACCTAGCTCCCCGTTGACAAAGCTTCTAGCCATGATGTATCTCACACGATTGTTTGGCTCAACAGTTAATCTTATTTCCCCAAGGGAGCTTCATTTTAAATTTGCTCCGTGGCTCTCGCCGTCACGAACTGTTTTGATTCACCACTTTTTAACCAGTATGTCGAAGTAAAACAACTTGTGCGGCGGCGCCTAGATCAAGTTTTAGTAGTGGGGATATGCTATCTCTGATTGGCTAGTCTTGCTTTGTGCAACTGCATCGTTCTTGACTAGATTTGGAATCATCGATTGATTTTTTTTTTCATCGGCTGATTCGGAAATGGGCGATGTGACGTTGAGAAAAGTTTTGGCTCAAAAATGATCAAAATAATATAGAAGTAGTTCCCTGCATAATTATAGAATCACAGCCCAGGTTTGAAAGAAAGTTTTGGGACGTAACTTTGGAGGCAGCCACCACACCAAAATACCTCGACCCGACGGTGTTCTCCCCGGCCCCAAGCTGGTCTATTTTGAATAGGGAACATACCGACACCAAGTAGCTAATTCAACATGTTTGGGGTCAGTTGACTGAATATTGCTTCAAACAGTGCTCCACACCATTCACCTTGATCATGTTCAGCTTGCAGTTTCTAGGGATATGCCATAACATACACGAGGGCAATGACACGTCAGCCTCCTCATTGTGGTGGATAAGTTCTGTGATCGTTTTTATTAAGATCGATCCCCGTCAACCAAACTCTCCCCTGGGGCGGCTATATATATATATATATCTTTCCGGAAATACATGCCCAGTGTGTCTAGAGATTAAAGACTACCGAAGCTAGAGGTGGATGACATCATTGCAAGCTTGAAACATTCTACACATAATTTCAGCAAATCGAGTGATACACCTGAAAAAACCCGTTGCAATGTGGACTTCAAACCGCCCTCATGAGGCATCGAGAATATTCCATCGGGCACAATGCGATAAATTTATATATTCTTAAGTTCAGAAGACAAAGAAAAAATACAGTTTCCGAGATAACCTTTTAAAACTTATCTTGTAGTATTTGTCTCAGTAACTTAGCTCTTGTGCAGTTGTGTTGAGGTATAACCTTCGATGAGAAATACACCCATAAGGGAGAAAAATGTGAGAAAGTGTTACATGATGTATATGTTCGACTGAATCTATTCCATGCGTTCATCTTAATGAAGTAGGCATAAATCAGTCAACCCTAAGCAAAGTTTGTGAAAGCCTAATCATTGTACGCATGGCTTTATGCCACGGTTTGTGCCGCTTCTGTAGGCACAAAAGCCCTGAAGGGAATCGTACTCGAGGTCTACCCAAAAGAAAGATGAGCTGGGCTTCTATTCTGCACCCGGCCAATTACTTGAAATGGCGATTTTTATCATCCCTCAGATTGTATATATTTTCTTGCCTTAATTGGTCAGAAAACCATTATTATGATGACCTTGTGTTTAGATTAAATTCGAAAGGGTCGTTCAGGTGTTTCTCTACCCGATCCAATCATGACGCTGACACGGAACCGACCCCTAAAGAGCCCTCTGCCGTCTCTAATCGACAATGACTGACCGTCCAATGTCTTCTCAGGGACACTCAAGAACCTCATAACAATCTGCGTCCAATTTCGGATTGCCTAATTGCTCCTTGTGACCCGCGTTAAGACCTCGTGTACGCTCCTTGTTTATGTAGAGATAATCGTTGGCTGTACCGTCGCTGCCGATGATGCGTGTAACGAGAGACGAGACGGGCTAATAAGAATTCTGTCCCTGACGTATTTTTGTAAAGTCCCAAGAATCCCGTAATTACTCGCCGATTGCCGCTGTCTATCATCGTCTTGCACGGGGTGTTCGGATTGGAATACCCCCCCCCCTTGTGAAAGTGTTTCATAGCAGTAAGCATACGGTGGGTGTTCGGTCTCTGGAACAACTCCCCAGTTATCCAAACAATCTAGAGACACACGAAAAACTCCGAGGGGCAAAGGGGGCTTCTAGATAAACGTCGGCCGTCTTTGAAGCAGATGACTCCGGTTAATCTGAGTCCTTTCCACTCGGATGGATTTCACCACA